TTAAACATATGCAGCACCCCCCCCCCCCCCCCGCCTCTCTTGCCTGAATTCATTTACGAGGACTTCATTGTTCTGGGAACAATGGGAATAGGAACAGTTAGTTCGGTCCCATGGAAGAAAAACGCATTTGCTTGATAGTTCTAATCCTTCCGGAGGTCAGGACCAGATTTTATTCTTCTAAATTGCAGATTTTGCAAAAAAAGATACCCACGCAGAGGGACTGGCCGTACAGATAATGTCTCCGGGCACTTCCAGCCTTAAGGAGCTCTCGGTGCTTATGTAGAAAAGGGCAGGAAAGTGGGGAAAAATCAAAGGACCAAGCTCAAGAGAAGGGCTCCATCCCAAGCCAGCCCTGTGTCCTGGCAAATCGCCGGGGGGACAGTCACCCGTGGCCACCTGGGCCATAAATCCAGGGTGCCTACAGGGGATGGAGAACCCACAAAAGCAGTTCAGTTCTGACACGGGCAGATGGAGAGGAGCAAACAGAGCTGAACACCAGGGCACGTTTCACCAAGCAAAGGCACAAATCCATCCTGGAGGAGCAGCCTACCCTGACCACAGGACAAGGACAGCTCGAGGACTGTCCCTTCCAGTGCCCACGTGAGCAGGGCCAGTGCCACGAGCTGCTGGGCTCCTCTCCCCATCCACAGCTGGAGGGGTCGGGTGGTGACAAATGAGCCTGGAGGCAGCACATGTGCCAAGACACACAGGGACAGGACCATGACAGGGTCTTCTTCAATAGACCATTCAACAGAACCACAGAATTATCTAGGCTGGAAGAGACCCTCGTGGTCTTGCTACTCAGTTCCTAAAGCAGCTTTGGTTTTCTTGGGGGTGACACCTCGGCTGCCCAGGCTGCTTGGCACGAGGCAAAGAGCTACCGCAGCCTTCCCACCCTGTGGGCAGCCCGAAAAGTGAGAACCAGAGATGAGTCACAGCCCCTAAAGTAAAGGCACTGGTCCTCAAAGCCACCACCCTGCCCTGCACCATCCCCAGTCACACCAAGCCAGACACCTCCAGTCCCTGTCTCTGACCAGCCCCCCGCTCTTGAGCAGGCAAAGATTTTGGTGCCATCACCATTTATTCCTGGGCTTTCTTCCCAAGGAAATTCCCCTTTACCTTTTTGGGCAGAAAGCTTTTCATTTTCCCTAGGGGGAGAGGACCATCCAAGCATCCCTCGGGGACCCCACAGTGGGCTTGGGGAGGGGGGCAAAGCGGGAAGGAAGAGCTGGACCCGATGCTCCAGAAGGGTGGCAAAGTGGGAAGGAAGAGCTGGACCCGATGCTCCAGACCCTCTCCCCGGGGATGTTCCCCTCCTCCTGGCAGCTTTTAACCGTTATTATAAACTCAACAAGTTGCTGCATCAGGCAGTCGAGCGTGGGTATAACCCAAACTCCTTCCCTCCAGGGGGAAGTGGGGGACACCCCATTGTGCTTAGGTTGCTTAAAAGTAGCCTGGGTACAATAGCAGGGACCGGTCCCGCGCTCCGGAAACCACCTTCCGGACAAACACATCCCTCTCGGAGGAACATTTTCCTGATTTCCAGCCCCTTGGAACAGGCTGGATGATGAAATTTCCGTTCTGTGGGAAAACTGAATTTTAAAATATGTTTTTTTGTTCCAAATCTGGATGAAAAGCCAAAAAATTTTCTCTCAGAATGAAGAATTTTGGCCGGGAGTCATCCAAGCGCTTCATTTTGATAATGTTGAACCACTTAATTTCACCAAAGCAAAAACATTTTGCTTCAATAGCATCGAAACAACTACTCTGTCAGCTTCACACATGGCATTTATGCCAAAGTCAAATTGAGACATTTCCACTTTAAGCAACGCAAGAAACTGAGATGAATCACTTCAGCTTGTGTCTTGTCAGAATACACACAGCCCTCTGAAAACCGGGATGGAAATGTGTTTTTTGACCATTTTATACCAAAGTTGCCGGTCCTGGTTTCCATTTCTATCGCTTACTCATTTCACCCCCTTCCCCGGGGTTTTAAACACCAATTATCAGCATCTTTCTCTGATGTTTATACCTTAAAAAAAAAGGGTCAGCAGTTTTGGAGCCGAGCTGCTCTCAGTATCTCCAGCCAGTGGGTTGGGTTATTTAGTTTAAACAAGGAATGAAGCCAGCTCCCTCAGCGAGGCTTTGGGAAGGACAATAACAGCTCGCCTTTGGCAAGGGGACACGCTCCAGAGCTGTGTGTGCAGCGTAGGTCCCACTCCCTGCTCCTCTTGTGTTTGTTTCCCAACCCACATCCCAAAAATCCATCCGTGTCCCAGCACCCCGGGACTCCCTGCGTGTTCCTGGTGATGCTCCACGGTGTGTGCACACACATATAACCCCACCACACACCTTCAAACAGCACTGGAGCACACAGCCATGCTCGAGCCCAGCTCGTGAGCAGCTGCTGAGCACCGTGGGACTCAGCCCAGGGTCCCATCCTGCTCCCAAAATGTCCACGGGACACTGTGAGGAACAGAGAGGAATCAGCGCTCCAGATGTAGGACACACCATCGTAGTCGAAGTGGGTATTAAACGCTGCCTTCAAAACTAAATTAGTTTGCTCAGGATTCACTGGCAAAAGAGATAACGCTCCGGTGTAATTAAAAGCACATTTCCCATGGAATCGGCAGAGTCGGAGGTAATTAAAGCTGCCTTCTCCTCCGAGGCAGGGAGCTCTCTTTGTGCCACTTCTATGCAGAAGCTCATTACAGCACCTGCCTCTTCTCCTCACACCAGCGACCTGTGGGGGCCTCGGTCTAACGAAACCCCCTGGATTAGGTGACCTGGGGTATGTTTTAGTTATTGAGCAAAGGGGAAGACCAAGAGCACAAATAAACCTGTTCCCTTTGCCTTAAGTGGGGACGAAGGGCTGGAAGATCAAGGGCTGCTCGTTGGGGACAGGGAGAAGGAGCTTCAGCGCATCCTTGTGCTTTGGCAAGAAGGGCAAGGGCTAAACTTGCCCAGGGAGGGGGCAGGAGGTACCAGGGCTCAGCATCAACCCTGGCACCAACGGCACCCCTGCAATAACACGCTCTGCTCTTATCACTCCAGATCTACATGGACAATTACACGGATCCTGGCAGGGCTCCTGCCGCCCGGGAAATGCCACGGGCAGCTCAACCAGCCCCACTGCAGGGGAACGGGGGACAGGGATGGACACAGCCCACCAAGGCTGTGCGAGGGACCAGCTGTATTTAACCACACTGGGATTTGGGTATTAACCCGGGGGGAAGGAACGGGGCTGCATTTCAAAGAGGGCCTGCAGGCGAGAGCAGCTCGCTGGAGATCTGCTTTGGGACTCAGCAGGGCAGAGAAAGGGGACAGGCACTAAACCCCCCCCTTCTCTGTCACAAAGGAAAGGCCACGGGGCTTTTACATCTGCTGCTAGTCACCAGGGAAACATAACAAATAGGCAGAGTCACCACAACCAAGCTTTCGGCCGCAGTAACTCAGCTCATCCATGGGCACTTTCCTACGAACATCCCTGCAAATCGCCCTCCCACCAAGCCGTCCCCACAGCACCCAGCTCTGAGCTCCCCAGACTGACCAGGGAGGAAGACTTTGTGCCTCCAAGTGTAGTTCACTGGTATAATTCCATCCCAGGGAGATGCTGGAGGGACAATCTGCTTCCAGAGAGACCAAACAAAACCCCACAGGATGGTACCTCGACCCCATCCCATCTGACAGTGCAATGACCAGACTCCTACCTTCCTGCTGGAAGCTGGGCACTTGGCAAAAACCAGACCACTTGGACCAGCACAACCATCCTCATGCCTCCTTCCATCACTGGGACCACCTAACAGGCACCAACACCACCACCCCCACATACACCACAACCATCTGCAACGCCGAGAAGCAGGGATGTCCCCAAAAACAGCTTGGGCCACTCCAGCTGCGACACTTACGTTGATGAAGGCCATGATCCAGAAGGCGTAGGAGACACGTGTCACCACCATGCCTTTCATGGGCAGGTCGTAGTGAGACAGGTTGCCTGGATGGTGCGGCACCAGGGACTTGCGGATGTGAGGGAGGTTGCTGGAGGTGTTGGCCGTGGAGTTTGAGAGGATGCAGTTGGTGTCCGAGAGGAAGGGGTCAGCTATCAGTGGGCTTAGCAGTGCTCCAAAGCCCACGAAGAAATGAAGGGCCTGCAAGAGATAAGACACACAAGTAGAGTGGCGGGGGGGGCTGGCTGAGCCCCTTGCTCCTCTTCCTCAAAGGAGGAAGCACAGGGAGGAGACACAGGCTCCATGCTCACCTGCAGGAAGATGGCTGAGTCCTTCTGGTAGATCTTCACCAGCTGCATGTTGGAGATGGTGTCGATGCAACCCATGGCCAGTCCTGCCACAGCCATGACCACAGCCAGGACCACCACATTGTGGCACAGAGGGATGATGGCAAAGACCAAGGAGATTGCCAGCGATGAGGCAAAGAGTGCAAACAAGGACTGTGCCAACCTGAGACAGGGAAAGAGGAAAGACAGGACAGAATTACCACCACGTGAGGAGGATCCACACGTGACCAGCCCAGGGCACTGCCATCTCCTGTGTGGGGGGTGATGCCTCAAAGAGGTGTTATCTCCCACCCAGCTTCCATGGAGAAGAGTAACGACCCCTTCAAACTGTGTTCTGCACATTTCAAGGCAGAATAAGACCTTCCCTTGTTAACCTGGGAATGGACAGGGACACGGGTAGATGCAAGTAAAGCCACGCTGTGACGTTTGAGCATCTCCAGGGCTTTTCTCCTGCAGGGCTGGATTGCACAAGCAAGGAGAGCTGCTGGGCAATCCCAATTCCAGGCAGGGAGAGAGCTGCTGGTGCCCACATCACCGTGCCATCCCAGACCTTCCTCACTGGGAGCTCTGGGGACACACTGTGGTTCCCTCTCTGTGCCATCCCTTCTGGCAGCATCACCCCTTTCCCCAGCAGGACGGGGCGGGATGTGGCTCTGCCCCCGTTCCCGGTGCCGGCAGCCACTTCCCAACCCACGCGGTCCCCTGGAGAAGCCCAAGGGATGTGTGTGGTGGAGATGAAGCTGGAGTAGTCCATCCCGAGCCTGGCTGCTCGCCCTGGGAGCCGGACCCTCGCCAGCTCACTGGAGAACGGCGCCCAGGCTGGCACCGGGCAGCTCCGGAGCTGCCAAGTGGAAAGGCAGGAAGGAAGGAAGGAAACAGGGACCAGACAGCAAAGCACTGAAACCAGCAGAAAGATGGGACTATGAAGTCACAGCAGAGATTAGGTAGCACAGGCAGGTCCCCTCCACAGGCTCCCAAACCCTGGTAGAAGCCCATTACCACGGCTGGCAGCTTGCTACAATAAATTGCTAATTAGCAATCAGGGTCTGCTGCTGTGGGGGGCACAGCCATCTGGCCACAACAAATGAATTGCAGGTCCATATTAAGATGTGTGTCCCTTGTATGGACACACAAGCAGCAAGAAAAACGCTATGGCTTGCTCCTGTCAGCATCCCATGTCTGCTTCACGCTCTGCCCAAAGAGGGAGGAGAAGGCTCTGAGGAGGCACAGGCTGGAGCTGCAGCAGGGAATCTCTGTGGCCACCAGGCACCAGCCCTCCTGCCCTGACTGCTCGGCCAGAACGGCCCAGAACGGGCTGGTCACTGCGTTTCTGCCTGGCCCTCAATCATCTGCAAACCCAGAGCGACGTGGTCTTCAACATCCTGCTTGTTGCTCACACTGCTCTGACACAGCACCGGGCCAAGGACACGTCTCCTTTATTCTCCTGCCTGGTGGCACAATCCTGGCCGTGCCAGCCCCTCGGTGTGCCTCCATCTCCCCTCCCAGCCCCTCTCACCCATCAGCCAGCCCGTGTTTCTGCACGGCCGTAACCACCCATCTTCCTCCGGCAGCAAATCTGGGGAGCCAGCCTGGGATTTCTGGGGGAGGGAGGGAAGGAAGGAGGGAACCAGGCGAGATGTGCACAGTCACGGCAGGAAAAAAAAACACCACCAGCAAATGAGAGAGAAGCAGCTTTGAGCCCAGGGAGAGGAGGCAGCTCTCTCTGGGGTACAGCAGGAGGGAGATGGGCAGGGGAACCGGCAGCCGGCGAATCCGAGGCCGGGAGTGCTGGGGAAAGGCCCAGGGAGACATCCCAGGAACGCCTCTTCTCTTCTGCAGCCCCAGCAAAACAACCACAGCCCCGCTCCTGCGTGGCTGGGGAGCCACGTTCACTACTAGAGTTAAACATTAATTGCAGATGATGCCACGGATTTAAAAAGCATTAAGGAGATCACCTCGCTTTTCCCATAATAAGCAAAAAATTCCCACCTCCAGCCATACGATGTTAATAACACAATTGCACCCCCCCACACAAACACCAGCAGCCCTCCTGCCCCCCCCCCCGGCTCTGGCATTAGGGGGGGGACCAAGAAATTGCTGGCTTCCTACATCAGATCCCCAAGATGTAGTCAAAGAATAGGGCTCAGCACCCCCGGAGGCACCGAACAACCAGCTGGGGGATTTCTTTAGGAACAAATCTCTTTGAGAGCACCCTTAAATGACTCTCAGAGGGGGGCTGAACCCTGTGTCCTGGTGACATGAAACCAACACATCCCTCCAAAGGGCTTAAAAAGCAACCCTGATGTTATGCCACGGGCCGGTTTCTGACATCACTGCCCTCCCCATCACTAACTGGTCCCCAGGGCAGCCTCTGCTACAGCCCCTTGTAGTGTCATGGGCTGTTTCAGGACCACCCGGAGCACGTCCTGGCTCCATCACGAGGCTTGATCCCCTCTCCTTCCCACATAAACCCCCTCCTTGGTGTTTCTGTTGCAGCAAGCACTCTTCAAGTATGTTTTTTCCCACTCCAGGAAGCATTTTCTAAGTCACTCACATCAAGAGAAAAAAAATGATAATCAGGCTAATTCAGACTTGCAAAACTAGTAATTAAAAACCCTAAGCCCTAAGGGGATGAGGTGAGGACACAGAAGAAGGCGACAGCATGGATTATCCCACATCTGCCTTCTGGGACCCTTGTCTCCAGCAGGAAGCACTGTCAGCCTTGGGGAACATTCTTCCCCTGAAGAGCTCCTGCTCAAGTCACTGTGCTCTGTGCTCTCAGAGCAACAAAAGGTTTTACTTTCCTCGTGGTGAGAAGCGTCCTGCGTGCACCAGCCACGTGCTTCAACAGAAACCCTCAGAAGATGGGAGTCTGAAGGGCAGGGAGAGAACAGGGTCACCCCCTCTCAGCTGATGTGCTGTGATGTGCCATGGGGGGGAGAATGAAAAAAAGGGTAAAAGGGTCCCATCTCATCAGCCCCCCAGGTCCTGGCGTGGATCACACCTTTGAGAAGAGCCCGCTCAGGGCTCCAACACAGTGACAGACCCACCAGCCCCCTCCTCTCCACTGCTAACACCAGTAGGACCAGCTCAGGGCTGACCTGAGCACTGGGAGCAAAAGCAAAAATACAAGAGGACACAAAAATATAGTTTCTGTATTAAAAGAAAAGAAAAAAGAAAGAAAAGCACAAACTGGGGCACAGGCACTCAGTTAATCTGGTGCTTCTGCCACAAATGTGTATAGCTCAGCAGCACATGACATGACTTTATAGAATCATAGACTCATCCAGGTTGGAAGAGACCTTTAGGATCATCGAATCCAACCATCAACCCAACACTGACAAAGCCACCACTGACCCATGTCCCTCAGCACCACATCTGCCCGGCTTTTAAATACCTCCAGGGATGGCAACTCCACCACTTCCCTGGGCAGCCCGTTCCAATGCTTGATAACCCTTTCAATGAAGAAATTTTTCCTAATACTTATCCTAAACCTCCCCTGGTGCTACTTGAGGCCGTTTCCTCTTGTCCTATCACTTCTTACTGGGAGAAAGAGACCGATTCCCACCTCTCTACAACCTCCTTTGCAAGCTTAAAACCCAACAAAATGGGAAAGGAAAGGGGAAGGGGACAGAAGCGAGAGGGAGAGGGTTGGGGGATGTGGGTGCACAGAGCTCACCCCTGGGGCTTGCAGTGCCACTCCTCTTGTTCTATCACTTCTTACTGGGAGGAAGAGACCGATTCCCACCTCTCTACAACCTCCTTTGCAAGCTTAAAACCCAACAAAATGGGAAAGGAAAGGGGAAGGGGACAGAAGCGAGAGGGAGAGGGTTGGGGGATGTGGGTGCACAGAGCTCACCCCTGGGGCTTGCAGTGCCAGGTGCTCAGGGGTGGATTTACCAAAGAGCTCCCTTCCCACTGGGGTCTCTGAGCCCAGGCAGGGTTTCAGGTCCTCCCAGCCCTTCCACCCCAAAGCTGCTGGCTGGACCTGCAGCCTCACAACGTGCCAGGCACTTCTGAGAATCTACTCCAAGAAATGCCAGGAGACAAGAGTCTTTGGCGTGCTCCATGCAAAGGTGCACAGGGCTCCCCAGGGAGGGCATCAGCTGCTGCCAGGGCTCTCTTTGCTTGAGGAACCTCTACCAACACCACAGCAACACTCAGATCGGAGCCAGGGTCCACCTAAACCCCAGCCCCACTCATGCAAATAAGCTGTTATTCTGAACCAGAGATTGTAATTACAACCCAGCAAACCCCAAACAGGAGTTGCCAGAGAGCAGCAGCCCGTCGTGAACCTCACTGTGAGCTTAAACATCACACCTTGGAGCTATGTGGGGAGATGCTCTGCCCTTTCCACCTCCCGACAGGCCAGGGAAGGGGCCATGCAGAAACCTGGCTCTCCAGGGCTGAGCTCCGCAGGCAACAACTGCATTTCTACATGCCCCAGGGGAACTCCCAATGGCAAACTTTCTTCTTCCTTGAAATCTCGCACGAGAGGGAATTCTGGAGCTAATTCTGGCAGCCCAGGCTCCTGCTGAGTTGATGCCATCATTATGCTCTGTCCTCCCAGCGCTCCAGGACTCCAGCTGAGCCCAGGGAGCAGAGACTACGACCCAGCACCCAGCAACTTCTCTGGCCAGAGGAACTAAACTATTATTTAGGTCCCACCACCCATCCCTGCTGCAGAATCCAGTAACAGCACTGCTTTCCCTTGCGAGTCCATCACTCGGAGCAGACAGCTCAGACCAACACTCAGTTTACTCGAAAGCAAGCAACAAAAATCTGTGTTCCTCAGGCACTAGAAATTAAACGCAGCTTCCAGCCAGACCTTGGCTTGCAGGCAGGCCACGCTTTGGTACCCTCCACCAGCAGCCATCCATCTCCAAACTGGAGAAGACGACCTGTCCAGCGCTCCTCCCTGCCCAGCATAACTTGATTTATAAACCCACAGCGTGCCCAGAAGTTGAAATCCTTAGTGGCACAGCTTGATCTGTCCCTCCCCAAAAAGGAGATAGTACAGGAGCTCTCAGAGCCTGGCTCCCTGCCCAGCATAATTTCATTTTTAAACCCACAGCGTGGCCCAAAAGTTGAAATCCTTAGTGGCACAGCTCGATCTGTCCCTCCCCAACAAGGAGATAGTACAGGAGCTCTCAGAGCCTGAACAGTTAATATTCTTCTCATCCAAACTCCCCTATTTCTACCCTGAGCTGCTCCAAGTAACCCCCCACAAGGCTCCCAAGCTACAACTATCCCAAACATGCCCTCCTGCCCGGCAGGGCTGCCCCTCCTCGCCGGGGCTCGCAGACACTTGGCAAAAGCATAACCACACAACCACAGCGAGTGCATCCAAACTCCCCTGTTTCTACCCTGAGCTGCTCTGAGTAACCCCCCACAAGGCTCCCAAGCTACAACTATCCCAAACATGCCCTCCTGCCCGGCAGGGCTGCCCCTCCTCGCCGGGGCTCGCAGACACTTGGCAAAAGCATAACCACACAACCACAGCGAGTGACAAACACCTTCTTTTCCCCAACGTGCAGCCACAGAGTTAAAAGTTTGGGAGTCCCCGAGCACGAAAGCCCAAAGGGGGTCTGTGCAAGGCGCCGGCCAAGGGTAGGAAGCTGACAGCAGGAAACAATTCTGCTTTTTCCTTCACTGCTCCTTCAAACATATGCGACGCAGCCCGGGGGCTGGCAAAGGCTCTGCCTGCTGACCCAGCAGCATCAGGTCCCTGTCAGACCCAGGGAAAGGCTCCCACATGCCCACCCCATTCCCCTGCACCCCATTTCATACCCAACCTCACACCTCCTCTCCCCTCACAGCCCCACCACCAGCAACTCTGTGGGCTCCATGAACCCTCTGGGCTCCATCCGGACAGGGAGACTGGGACAATTCAATTATATCAGGATGGTAATTAAACAGTTGCTCTGATGCCACCTTCGCTAGCCAACATCCTCCACAATTCCTCTGACAGGAGTTTTTTAACAACACATTTTCAAATGGGCATTTTAGAGCAGGGAGGGATTCATGCAAAATTCTCTCAGATACATGTTAAACACCTACATAACTGTATGACGTGTATATCCGAGATACACACCGAGCTGACACCTTACATCACTGCCTGATTAATTAGTGACAGTGTAAATAATCGGCCGATTCTCAGCGGAGCATAGCTTTTGACAAGCCTCTAAATCAAATGCCTGGCAATCTTTAGGATTGAGCCATCGTGTATTATTTATTTTAAACACATCCTGGACTGAAGGCTCAGTGCCCGGGTCTCTCACTGCCCCACGAAGTTCTCTGCTGTCCCTGGCCACCCTGTCCTGGTGAGACACTGCCCTCGTCCCCGGTGCCAGCCGGACCACGAGGACCACTGGCATCTCTCCTCCCGTTTGCCCAAACTCCTGAGGAACACGACAACGCCTCCGTCACGGACACCGAGGTTATTAAAACAGCCTTCCAATAATATTTTCCTGACAAACAATCAATCAGGTTAAGGAAAACACCCTCCAGGAAGTTCTGGCAGCAACTTCACGCTTGAGGCTATCTCCGTCCCGAGCTCCGGGGGAACGGGCAGCGTCTCTCCGGGGGTGAGGAACCGTGAAGATGGGGGGAGATGCTGCCCCCCCAACACCTCATAGGAAGCCCCCTCCCTCCCAGAGCTGTGGACCCTCCGTGTCCCAGATGGAGGGCTCCACTCGGGAAGGGTTATCCCACTCAGCATCCCAGCTCAGCCACGCAAACCCGGAGCTGGGAGGGGGGTGATAAGGGGGGGGTGGCTTGTGCTGCCCACCCCCAAACCGGCAGGAAAGCGGGGAGGGAGGGGGGTGTGGGGGGGGTCTGCGGAGAGCTAAGCCCACCCGCGGGAGGTGCGATGAGTTTGCCAGTCGCCTTACGTCCTCTTGAAGAGCCCTCCGAGGCAGCTGCCGAGCAGGAGGCAGAACTGCTGGGAGAAGAAGACCCAGGTGATCTGGGAGAGGGAGCTCTGGGTCTGGCAGCGCAGGTCCAGCAGCGTGGGCCCCAGGAAGGCGATGCAGAGGCCGAAGCTGAAGAAGACGCTCCAATAGGTGAGGGTGGGCTGCAGGTTCCTCCGGAACCGAGCCGACACCCTCTCGTCCCACCACCACATCCTGGGCGGCGGAGCGGGGCGGCCACCGGCGATTGCGGCTCCCGCACCGCCC